TGGGGAAGGCTTCTTTAGGGGATAATCGTATGCATGTTTAGATCGGAGAAGTTCTTTATGCTGCCCAGAGAATGCTGAGGAAAATCGGAGTATTTTCTGTCTAAGCGTGCATAGGATATTGCCTTTGAGGTGCCACAAAACTTATTTTTAAAGAACTCTGTGACACCTTAAAGATGAACCTATTTTAACCTATCTCCTAGGGTTGTTGTGAGAACAAAATGGAGAGGAAGAGGCTGCCCTTGCGGGTTCTTTGCAAAAGGAAAAAAGGTGGGATATAATAATAAAATTGTAGCAGAAGGCTTCATGGACTGCACCTGTGTTAGTCCTTAGGCTACTGTAAGGTGGTTTTTATAGGTCCCACAAAGACCAAAGAGAACAAAAATCACAAGGGAAATAGCTGTGTTGGTCATTGTATAATAAGATGTGGGTCTATAGCATAGGGATCATTTTTGACGGGAATGGGGAACATGTGGCTTGCCAGATGTTGAACTGCCATTCCCATTAGACCTAGAGAGCATAGCTAGTATGAAAGTCATGCCTTAACATCTGGAGGGCTAAATGTCCTTCACTCCCATTTTGTGAAAGCCAGAAGTCCAGAACAGTGTGCTACCTTTCCAGCTTTTCACCGCTTTTTCTCAGGATGACTGTCAAAGAATGTATCATCCGTTTCTACGCCCCCCTCCTCATCTCTTAGATTTCTGTGAAACTCAAAAACTCACTGCTCTGATTTTTAGTTATGAGTAAATCTCATAACAGAATGATGCCCATGTGCTTTTTGTTGCCACAAAAAGGACTTGTGTGCTTGTAGCACCTTGAAGATTAATAGACTGCTGTGGTGGAGAAACTTTCATGGACAAAGCATAGTCGAAGTTAATGAAAGTTTAGATGACTGCAAATATTAAACTTCACCATCATCCAGTAAGCTGCCTTGAACTCTTTCCCAAAAGCATCATGGTACATGTAGTTCCAGCTTCTTCCCACAATATCTGTAGTACTCCATAACTACATCTCCCAGAATGCAAAGGTTCTCTCTAGGGACAGTGCAGGCTGTAAACAGCCTGTTGGAGCTATTTTGACAAATTCTAAAGGTTAAGGTACAGTGAATGCTGAGATTCCTTGAGAAACCACTAGAACATTATGAACTAAGCAAGGATCGCTCAATCCTGTGCCACAATTACAATAACAATTGAAGCAAAAACATTGTGGTTGCAACCCTATACACACTCATCTGGAAGTAAGTCCAACTGAACTCAGTAAGGTTTACTTTTGATTAGGCATGCATAAGATTGCACTGTAAAACATGAGCATTACCCCAACAGTGAGCAAGTTTGCTTTCACACCAATCACCTCACCACATAAATAAGTGGCGAATCAAGTGAATGTTTGCCTCTGCAACCTTTCTCTCTCATCTTTCCCTGGTGTGAGGCAGAATGTCCACATACACCATTTGCTGAGGATCTTCAGCAATAGGGAGCTGTTACACTCATTTCTTGCTTGTGACTGTCCCATGGGCAGCTGTATGAACAGAATCCTGGACAAGATGGATGGATCCTTGCTGGATTCCAGCAGGGCTTTTCTTATGTTTCCTAAGTATAAACATGGCCAAAAAAAGTCTGGAAATTTTTATCATGCACGGATTCAAGAAACCAGGATTGGCCACAACTCTTTATTGTGCACACACAGGGACGAGCAAATGTTTGCCATTGCTTTAATTTCAAACAGCTCTACACATTTATACCAAAAGTGCTTTAATTTGAATACCCTCTAGTCAACTTTCAGCCCTACCAGATTCACCATTAAATCATTTCAGACATTCAATCCCAGCATTATTTTGGCCTGCCAGAAGAGGTCACATTTGTACTACAGGAAAACAAATTAGCCCTTGATGCTGTTGCTGTGCATTAGAACAACCTGTATTAGCAAACTGCTCTGGGTTGTTGTTGTTAACAAGCCAGAATCTACCTATTTCATGAGCAAAGCTGGATTTTCACTTCTCACACAGTGTCCATGTAAATGACCCAGTACATCTTTACTCAAGTGATGCTGTCATCAGAAGGCTAACAGCCCTGTCTGGAAATAGAACTGGCAGCAGGAAGTATTTTAAAGCAAGTATAAGAACCTCAGCCCTGCATGGCAAAGCCAGTCTTCTTAGGGCTCCATCCTGGCTTTCCAGGGTTCTCCAAGTACCACCCCATCCACCCTTGCCTCCCTTCCCCCACCCATCAATCATTTGATGTTTCCATGCTTTTTAGCATTTTTCCCCATTCTGAAAGGTTGTGGTTTCTCCGAAGGCTTAACTACTGGTGGTAAGAGCTTTATGACTGAAACCTGAGCATAGTTTTTTGCAGGTAGCTCTACCTGCTTTGCTTTCTGCCTCCGTTACCAGTGGATTGCAGCCGCTCAAAGTTTCTCCAAATTGGCCCTCTGGCTGAAAGAATTTTCCTGCTAGGGATGCCCTACTTTTCTCAACAGTTTATGACAATTTTGATTGCTGGTGAGGCAAGAAATAAATGTGGAATTCATTCCAGATGAAGTAAGTCCGTCCTTGATTTCAGTGACAGTGATTTAAATGCTTTGTGTTTCTGCCTATTACTTCACTGAGTTCAATGGAACTCACTCCCAGGTGTAACTCTACATGGCATCAACCCCAGTGAACCCAAAAGGATGTATTGTTAAGTAAACATGCACAACACTGAGCTGCAATTTTGCATTTCAAATCAAAAGCACTTCAAATAACGTTGGCTGGAAAAAGCCCTGGGTGCTAAAGTTTTAATCCTAGACTGGCATACTGATTATAAAAGTTACAGAAATCACAAGTGGATTGACTCCCTATGTGAAGACCTGTTAGCCTCAAGCATTACAGAGCAAGAGTACATAACTAAGTATAATAATCTAGCATCACTTCTACAATGATGCTCGTTTCTTTATATTTGCCATTCAAATTAAGAATTTTAGAACAGGCACAATTTCCTGCTTCTATTTGTAAGAAATTAGGATAAAGAAAAGTAGACCATTTACCACTATCATCCCAATATCAGATATCTAAAATAGGAAAGTCCATGGGATTAAAATTATTTATTTATTTATTTATTTATTTTATTAAAACATTTCTAGGCCGCCCCATTCACCGAAGCCTCGGGGCGGCTCACAACATAAAGTTAAAATACAAAAAATAACAATATAAAATAAAATAAGTCACCCTGGCCAGATAAAATAAGCATAATATTAACAATTAAAATGATGCTTAAATAAAAAGGTCTCAGAAGAGTTGATAAACCCTAGCAAGATGCACATTGTCCTTGCTGTTAGAGAAACACTCAACTCAGCTCACACTGTCTCAAGTATTTACTGCCCATGGATCACGTCAATAAAAAGGAAATGGAATTGGCATGGGGTAACGCTCCTCTGAGACTCCTAAAATGCTGATCTGGAATGGCTGCTTTGATGTCTGAAGAACCAGAGGAAGGGGTGCTTGTACTGTACTTGCAGGGTCAGTCTGATTTCATTCCCATTACTCCACATGACTAATGTGGAGGTCAGCCTTTTCGGTAATGGAGGTTGGGGCCATTGAGAGAAGGGGACCCATTCTCTGCAGAATGATTGCATCTGGAGGAGCTCTCACAAATCATGGGTATTATGAACCTGATCACAAAATATCCTTCCTATAATGCTGGGGAAAGCAGACTGTATTTATTTTCAAAAATAAGCTGACCCACTGAGGCAAGGTATCATTTTTAAATCCCAGCCAGGAAGATACACAGGCAATCTCCAGTCTCCTAGAAGAGTCCTTAAGACACTATGGCTGACACAGCCCTGCAGGTGTACTTGAAAATATACCTCTCAACCCTGCTGGGTCCTAAAATTAGTGGCTAGCAGGGACAAAGTGCCATGAGAGGAAAAGAATAGGTAGGGGCACAAAACATTCTAGAAACATCTAAAGGGAGCCACACTTCACTGGACCAGAGAGCCAATTTACACAAGCCATTGTGCTGCAGTTTCCACTTCTGCACAGTTGGATTCCTACATGGTAGTGGGAATGTTTATAGCTAGGGATGCAGGGGGATGGGATGGTTGCTTCCCTCATGCACACTTCACAACACGGGGGTAGACTTAAGCATATAAATGACCACAAAAGCTACTGGGTACCTGGCTACAGATGTTAACACTGCAGTATAGGGATCTGAGTACACAGAAGTAACAAGCACATTATAATAGTTTATATATATTGGCCCAGAGCAGAGGTCATTAGGTGCAGTCAGTTGAATAAAGAGTGTCTGCTACTAATCTTTAGAAATCTACAGATGCTTCTATGAAACACAAACATTCTGAAATAAAAGCAAGTACTAGGGAGTTGAGTCACTAAGATTTCCTTAGTTTCCAATATTCCAATGGGATGTCACAAAAATAACAATATTAGAAGGCAATCAGCAGCCAGAGACCATAAAATAAAAGAAGTAAAGATATACAACATATTCCAAAATGCAGTATTATTTGTTCTAAAATGAAATATAAATAGGATATATTTTTTAAACATAACAACATTTTATGGAATGATCCATCTGAAGTTACAATATTATGCATGTTGTAGCAGGGCTATTTATGCATAGCCCTATAAAAGAGGTCAAAATCCCACAATTAGGTTTTTGGCAGAGAAGCAAAGGTAGAAACTAAATCTACCCTGTCCCTGCTTACAAACACATATACACACCCCTACCTCCCGAACAGCTAATTGGCAAAATTCTCCCTTTTTATCTTATAAAAATGGAAGTGTGAATATTTGTTTTCCTGATTTAAAGTCATTTGCAGGAACAATGTATGATATATCCCTTGCTCTGGAGTAGCTTTCCCCTACCTGGTAACTTCCAGATATGTTAGACTCCCAGAATTTCTGGCTATGCTTACTTAAACACATGTGGCGGGCATCTAGTTTGCCATTATACTGCTGAGATATACTCTGCCTCTTGGGAGTGCAATCTGGATGTAAAAACAGGGCATGCACTTGCTGTGCGCATTGGTTTATAGCAAAATTGCCAGGTTGTTGTGGCTTTTGCACTGCCAAATGTCTGTAGCAAGTTCAGCCTGACAGCAGACAGTGAACCGCACATTTAAAGCAAGGGTGAGAAATCTGTGGCCTTCCAGATGTTTGTTGTTAGACTCCAAATTCCATCAAACCCAGCCAGCCAAAATAGCAGGTCATCAGGGATTATGGAACTTGCAGTCCATCAGGATCTGGAAGGCTACAGGTTCCCACACCCTTGCCTTGTACTCAGTCTTTTGGGCAAGTAATTTGTCTTTTGCAACACCAGCTAAGGCAGCCATTTTGTGCCCAGTCAGTTTCTCAATTTGCCAAATGTGCCCATAGCCTCAAGCATTTGCTTACACCTGCCCTTACAGCTACTGATATCATGGCCCCATTTTACCTTCTGGTCCAAATCAGTCTTTTCTTCCATGCTCTTCTGAGATGTGAATCGTTCACTAACCTTCTTGCCCTCCCAGGCCAATTTGCATATCGTATTTTGATTGGTTGCAAGGAACAATGATTTTTCAAAAGGGAATTATTTATGTAACAATCATTGTACATTACAGTCATTATGACTCGGGGTGTAATTTTATGCCATGTTTAGAGAGAGAAAAGGCCTGCACCCTCCAGTGAGCCCTGGCTAGTTACACTGGATGGAGCATGCGGGGAGTGCCAAGCCTTTTCCCTCTGTAAACACCAGTAGGATTTTGCCTTTAGTGCTGCTTTTGGAGAAGTAGCACTTTATATAGTATTTTATGACATTGTCAGATTGCAAACTAAAGCGCATATTTTACAAGAACCTTTTTTTAAATAAAGGGATGTTAAAGAAGCAAAACTTTAACTGTGCATGTTTAATCAGTTATGTTTAGTATTTAAATTTTGGATTTCCACATAATTAGGATTTCAGCTAATGACTGCATCCACATTAACCTGCAATTATATCTGCAATGCCCACTGCTTAGCATCCAAATATATATTTCTTAATTTCTAGCCTGCCTTTCTGCATATCCAAGGCAGCTAATACTAACACATGGCATTACAATATAATCATATTACAATATAATCAAAAGGTATCAACATTTAAAAAGAGCAGTCACTAACCCCAGCAGCTGTAGTCCAACATGCCAAAGACCAATTTTTTACGCAGCAGCACTACACGGATAGGCCTTCCTAGAATTCCGGAAACCTCTTGCATTAATAATAGGGAAGACCCTCTCTTACACTCCCCCAAATCCTCCTTCAACATCAGTAGAAAATAGAGAAAGGTCTGTTGCAAAGATCTGAATGCCCACCAGTACAGATTTTATTGGACAAGACAGACCTCTGCTGGTTTACTTTGTAGGAATATGAGGTTTGAAACAGTTGATCACAAACCTGTGATAAAACTTCCACTGTTATTAATAAAGTATATATAAAGAGTTTACATGTAAAGTATATACAGAGCTTGATTGGTCAAAACTATGTCAGGTTGTTTCCAAGATCAAAACACTGCTATTTTAAATTTGCCTATTTTAAAGGATTTTGCCCAATGATGGTTGCAATAGTCCCTGATGTTTTAGAAATAACAGGATGTTGTTTGTAACACTCTTGAAAAAGAAAAAAAAGCCTCACATTGCAAAGACCAATTAACAAGGCACAGAAAATCCTTCTACCTACATAAATCATGTTGATTCTGGCCACTCTTGCTTCACCACTGGACACAAGTGATATAATTATGATCTCTACTTCCATTGATTCCAGGGAGTGCAAGGGGACTGGCCGCTCAAGGCACAAGGTAGGTAGGATGTTGCAATGATGCATGAGGCAACTGGATGAGCAGGCCATGTCTATGGGGCTACAAGACCAGAGGGGCAGTTACACGGGGGGGGGGGGGCGTTAGGGTGTGTGACCTATAAACACTGGTTAGTTCATGCCAGAGCTGGCCAGTGCTGCATTCCCCAACTAACTCTGGTACAGAAGCCCCTCCTGAAAGAGACCCTGGCAGCTCCTTTTTGTGAAACCTCAGGTTTGGGTGTCTGGTGGTTTGTTTTAATTAATTAGAGAGGGCACTTTTGGCCGTCCATGCAGTATTGGCATGTATGACCAGATCTTCAGGATGTGGGAGCGCAAATGTCCCATCATGTATCTGTCCCCTGTCTGCTGCTACGGCAACAGGAGCTATTCTATTTGCTTTTTTGTTGACATTATATGTCACTCTATAACAGATGCTCTCTGGGTGGCATTACAGGATAAAACTGAAACAAGTTAAAATCAATAACAGCATAACCATAAAATAAAATGTAATGTTGCATAAATTCAAATCAGACCCTAAACCTTTGAGTGATAAAAGGATGCCTCTTCCAGGACAACGCCTGCTGCAAAATGTGCAAACATCTAAAACCTGAGGGAGAGTTACTTTTTCTTATGTACAATAGTTTAGGTGCTTCATACATGTGCAAATATATAAACCAGATAAAAGTCGTATGAGAAACTGACTAGGATCGCTTTAATTAGATGGTAGCCCTACTCACTATTAATTAGACAGTGACATCACAATTGCAGCTTGATTTTGTGGTGCACCTATTAAGCCAATTGAGTTCAATGAATTTGTGCACCTAGATCTATATAAGCTGAGGCCATGGTACTGTACAGGCTACAAAAGTTGCCTTTAAAATGAAATGCAAGATCTTCTCATTTCTAGACCTAATAACCCAGTACCTAATTCTGCACTTGCCAGTAAATTGCGTAATACACAAAACTCTATAGACGGAGGCACAGTTCCTCCTCCAAGCTGCTAAGGATGCAGTTGGGATGCCCAGAACCCTCCAAATGCACGATAGAAGAGTGCAGAAGCAAAGTTTGCCTTTGTGCTCCTCCTGCTCTGTGAAGCACTTAAGTGGCTGATTTTGGCAAAGTGTGGTGTTTTCCAACAGGAAAAACATTGAGGCACTACCAGAATACATTGTATCTTGGTGGCATCAGTTTCCTCCCCATCCTGCCCCAGAAACTCCCCTGTAACCTTTGTATTTTACATAGGCTTCACCAGAAGAATGGTGAGCAGGTTATTAAAATTCTGGTACTGTAATGAACTTTCCCAGTGTCCAGAAGTGAAATTAGTTTTGTGAAGCCATGCCAAGGCCTAATGGCCTTCAGCTTGATAGAAGAGTACCAGAGATAACAGCCTTGAAGCTACCTCCCCCAGTCATTCTATAGATAAGGGCTATTGGAACAAAACCAACACCTCCCAGGAAGGGGTGTTGGAGCCTATGTCTGAAAAAAAGTGAAAAGAGGCATTGTTGCTTGCTCTTAGGCACAGGGGAGGAACTGATGCATCGCTTGCCTAGGCAATTTTGGAGGCCCCTGAGCCTATTCATGGAACCAGTACAGTCACAGAAAAGGGGAGCGTGAGCTTTCTTTCATGTGCTTATATGCTGCATCCATAATTCATCACTATATTCAATAAACTCTGTATCATCTTTGATCCAGGTAGTTTTATTTCATCCTAAGTGTCTTCAAATATAAAGCAGGCTGTGACACCAGGCTCTAGGATAAAAACATCTCTTCTTCAAGGTCGTTCTTGCAACTCTGAGGAAACAACCTGTGCGGTTATTTTCATGTCAATTTGTGAGGGGTGAGGAGCGGGATCCAAATGCCAATCCCCAGCTATGAGGTCAGAACAATTTTGCGCAGGAACTGAAATGGGCAAGTGACAAGACCGCTTTAGCAATCATCTGATTGAAGTGCCAGGGAGAAGAGAGAAGATTCCTGCTGTGCCTCGAACGCCAGCTCATTGCAACTTCAAGAGAAAGATCATCATCCTTCCTAATGGACCCCTGGAATAGTGTTAGAGAACCGAGTGATGAACTGGTCCCACTTTTTTTGCCAGATCTGCAGAGCCTTTTCTTTCTCGTTGGGTGTCATGCTGCTGTATCTGTGAAAAGAAGTCTGGGTCAGTAAATAAGGGATAGAAAAAAGTGCTCTACAGTCTGACTGATAAGAGCAAAAGCCAGAAATGGGCAGGAAATTAAAACTCAGTTGAGTTTGTGTTGCACTGAGTAGATACCTGCTGCCTAGGAAGAAAGTCTTTCTGAATTCACAACTGCACTCCCAGGTAAGTATACTTGGGAGTGCAGCTGTCAGCATAGCTCAGCTGAGAGCTGAGCTGGCAGATATGGATCATCCTAAGAGCCTGGTGACAAAATAGTCATCCTTATCTCTGAAGATTCTCAGGCTCTGAAGTGTGAGACTGGAGGGGCTCTCGAGGCAGGAAATGGTGGGGAGAGAGAAGTTTGAGAAATTGAGCTTTATTGTTATGTGTGTAATTGGAAAGGAGCAAGGGGAGTTTCTTTTATTGTTAAAGGTAATCTAAGAAACCCCTTTCAATGAACAGTAAATACAGTTTTGAAAGGTGCCATCTTTGTAGCCATTTTCTTTAGGCTGCCAATCCTAAACTTGCAAGCAGTCTAATCCTATGTTTATTAACTCAAAAGTGAGGCTTATCAACATCTGAAATAAGTGTAGATAGTTCCCAGCCTGACTTGAAGTAAATTCCACTGGAATCAGTGACTGGTATACTATACATTCCCATCATACAGAAATATATAGATTCTGTTTACAGATTATGAGCAGGCATTTTGCCTGCAGCAGCAAAATATCAAGCTCTAGAATTCTCTAGCAAGTACTCTCCCAAATCTGCAACACCTTCCTTCCAAGTTCTCTTCCACCCAAATGTTCATCAGCAATACTATTCTAAGCAGGAGCAAAATGCTACTTCATCATTTTCAAAAAGGGTAGTAGAAGGGACATGGGGAATTACAGACCTGTTAGCCTTACATCCATTGTAGGAAAAACAATGGAAAGGCTCATAATAGAGATCTAATGATGCTAAATAGGGAAGGGAGGCTGACAGCCACACAACACGGCTTCCGCAAAAACAGGTCCTGCCAGACAAACCTTGTGGAATTCTATGACAAGGTTTCGAGATGGCTAGATGGAGAGGATGCAGTGGATGTGGTTTACCTGGATTTCAGCAAGGCCTTTGACAAAGTGCCCCATGATATCCTGGTGGAGAAACTGAGGAGTTTTGGGATACACCAAAGCACTGTCTGGTGGATTAGGGCATGGCTGACTGACCGAAAGCAGAAGGTAACCATTAACAGGGAATCATCGGGATGGCGGCCAGTGACAAGCGGGATCCCCCAGGGCTCTGTCCTGGGGCCGATCCTATTTAATCTTTTCATCAATGACATGGAAGAAGGGGTGAACAGTCTGCTGATCAAATTCGCAGACGACACTAAAACTGGAGCAGTGGCCACAACTGAGGAGCAGGTACTCCAGATCCAAAAGGATCTGGACAGACTACGGAAGTGGGCAGGAGACAACAGGATGGCGTTCAATGTGGATAAGTGCAAGGTCTTGCACTTGGGGCATAGGAATAGCTGTCATAAGTACAGGTTAGGTGACAAGTGGCTGGAGAGCAGCACTTGTGAAAGGGACCTCGGGGTACTGGTTGACTGCAGGCTAAACATGAGTCAGCAGTGTGATACTGCTGGTCAAGCTGCTGGTCAAGCAGTGTGATACGGTGGTCAAGAGGGCGAATGCCACCCTTGATTGCATAGGCAGAAGTATGGCTTCTAGATCAAGAGAGGTATTACTACCACTCTATACGACTCTGGTGCGCCCCCAACTGGAGTATTGTGCTCAGTTTTGGGCCCCTCATTACAGAAAGGATATAGCCAGGTTAGAGTCAGTGCAGCGTAGGGCCACAAGGTTGGTGGCCGGTTTGCAGGGGATGTCGTATGAGGATAGACTGAGGGAACTGGGTCTCTTCGGCCTGGAGAAGAGGAGACTCAGAGGGGATATATTGGCGACATACAGGTATGTGAGGGGATGTCACATGGAGATGGGTAGAGACCTGTTCTCCCCTGCAGAGGAAGGCAGGACGCGCTCCAACGCAGCAAAATTCAGGGAACCAAGGTTCCATTTAGATGCCAGGAAGAATTTCCTGACAGTTAGGACCCCGAGGGTGTGGAATGGGCTTCCACAAGAGGTCGTTGAGGCCCCATCGGTGCGGATGTTCAAAGATAGGCTGAATGTGCACATAGTGGGCATGTCGTGAGCGGAGCCGGCTAGTGCCGAAAGTCAGACTAGATGGCCCGGGAGACCCCTTCTGACTCGCTCTGTTTCTATCATCTTTAGTTTTGTACATATCAAATAAATTTGCTGCATAATATGCATCAAAATGCATGCAGCAGGATGAAGCCGGTTGCTTAAGGCTGTGCTACGTTTGGTTGTATATAAGCTCTTCCCTCAACAGCAGCTGCTACCCAAGGAACAGGGAAAATGCACTGCACTCATGGGGTTTCAGTTCCTGGCATTAGCTATACTATCAGAAACATAACACATCTTAGTTTTTCAATCCTAATCTTCAAGTTTTCTCTTTCCTGATGGATTTCCAGTGTCATTTTTGCCTTAAGTTCCTCATCTGCTTCTGCACTCCATTAATTGTGGCAACTTTGTAAAACCATGCATTCAAACTCCATATTCATAGTCTTCTAGAGTCTGGACAAAATAACCAGGTTTGGGGAGGAGTGGCCCTAGGTTGTTTTCATAGCAGGAGTGGGCAGATGCATGGAAACCAGCATGCACAGTTGCTCACACTACATTTTCAACAACCATTAACAAACCATGGATTGTTGCCAACATGCAAACTGGGTCTTCATGCACATGAGAGCAGACATGCAAACCAAGGCAGATCTACTCAGAAGTAAGCCCTACTAAGTTTAATAGGGCTCTCTAGTAAGTATGCATAGGATGGCAACCTTATGACAGTGGAGTTAGGGAATAGGTGAAAACAAGAACTAGTGTCTGAAGTAAATGGATTGATAGGGGTTCAATATGGGCTCCACTTCAGTTATCAAAATGCCTGGAACCAGCAACATATGTGCCCTGACTCACAGAAAATAGTTTTCTTTATTGCAAAATATGGGACATAGCCATGAAGAAATGACAAGCAGATAGACATGGTTTTAAATCTGGTACTCCGGACCATGTGTGAGAATCCACCAGGCTCCAAACTCCACCACTTTTCTTGCCATGACTTCAGACTTGTGCATACATATATGGGTTAAAATATGAGAGAGAAAGAGATCACTTACTCTAGAGAGTTTAATGCCAGTTGTTTCAGAGTCCTTAGATCAGCTCTCATCCCTCCGATGCCCATAAAAATCTCATAGAAGTCATATGACACCCCCTTTGCCCCAAAGATTGGTGGATCGTCAGAGGCAACCACAATGCGATGGCCCTCTGACATCAGAAGTGCAGCAGGATGGTTCCTCAGATCTGACACTAACATCAGGACCTTGAAGAAGAGGTACATGTCAGAGAGATGCTACCACCGTTTTATGGAAAAATCTGCATATACTTTAGTATTTCACACAATGAATAGGGCAGAATTTCAATCTCACATGTTTCAGTGTTCTTCCTCCCCTCCTCTCTCAAAATTCTGCCCCTGATGGGTTACAGACACAAAACAAGATTCAAACAAAGTGAAACATTTGTGTGACTCAGTCCTATGCGTATATGGAAGCAAGTCCACTGAATTCAATGGCATTTCTTCCACAAAGGTGTACATAGGCTGCAACCCTACACAAACTTGTGAACAATTCTTATTAAACTGAGTATATTTCCACAGCATTGGCTAACATCTCCCTCATCTAAATGAGTGGAATTCCACACTGTTTCAGATAATGAACAAATATCCTGGTAGCAGCTGCTACAGACTTGCAGGGACATTTACAAGGTCCTTCTTACAAGGTCAGACTATTTGTCTTTCTACTCCCAAATGCCTGCTCTGACTAGAAGCAGCTCTCCAGGGTCTCTAGCAGAGGTTTTTCCCATCACCTGCTACCTGGTCCTTTTATCTGCAGCTGCCTGGATAGAACCAGAAACATGGAGCTGCATTATTAGAGTACATGAACTACTCTGTCAAGCTACAGTTCTTCTCAGTCTGTAGGTTCTGCACCTCTCATCTCATGCCTTTTACCATGACTCAGAGTCAAAAATATTCTGAACTCTGTGAACACCAAAGGTACTCAATGTATATAATACTTCAAAAGAGATAAAAATGCTAACAGCACACTGCACATAAAAAAGAGATGCGGAACAAACAGATTACAAAAATAACGCCCAGAAACAACAAAAGCTGGCTGGAAATGATCTGGTGCAGCTTGTGCCAAAGCACTGAAGCCATTCCGAATGGCTGCACAGAGGGAGATGAGAGGGAGCACAAGGTCATTTCCCCAGCCCTGCTGAAAGGCCTCACTCATGAAGGCGCCTCCCTGCTCAGCTCTTAGTACCAGCAGCCGTTCCATACACTTACAGAGATACATGAGAAGCAGAAGTGGAACCATTTCCCCAGTGCTGCTGAAATAATTTTGTTTCCTTCTTCCCTCCCCATCCTTCTTCCTTGTGTGCATGGCCTGTTCTTTAAAAAATGGCTAAGGAACAGAATAAGAATGTTTCAAATAAATAAAGGTGCCTTTAGAGGCATTCCCAGGAGGATAGCAGAAGAGGCCATGAACCAGAAGTGGGAACAGACAAGCAGTGAGTGGCACCACTGGCATCACAGCCATGTCAGCAGCTGCACAAGCAGCCACGGCACCAGCCTCCAGCCGTGGTGATAGTGACACGTGTGCACACAGCTGCTGCTACTAGAAGAGGAGCTGTTTGCTCAAGGGCTATTCTCCCCCTTCAATGAAATGCACCAAAGCCCCTCCCTTCGGGTGTTCTGACTGGTCATCTCCACCTCCTTATCATATGGTTACAGGAACACAGGAAACGGCCTTGTATTGAGTCAGACCTACACTGTGTCTAGTCTAGCAATAGCTCTCTGGTGTTACACGCAGGGGGTTTTTCAGCCCAGCTTGGAGCTTAGGATCAAGCTTAGGATCTTCTGCATGCAAAGACGGTGCTCTGCCTCAATGAGCTATGGCCCTTCCCAATAGTCTTTTACCATGGATACATGACATCATCATGATGGTCTGCCAGTAAGTGAGCCAGTATGCCAGTAAGAGATGCCAGCAAGAAGGTGAGTCCTGCCCACCAATCTGGAATCCCTGCTCCTAATCCTGGATGTGTGAACCCTGACTCTGGTTACTCAGCAGCAAGTAATTCTGCACAAGTTTGAATGCAATCACATTTTTTATTCATCACCACATTACTACTCCCGCTATGTACATACCATGAGCAGAGACCTGCTTAGAGAAGGCTAAGTAAAGGTGCAATCCTATGTGAGTCCAGACAGAAAGAAGTGTTGGGAGTTGCAGGACATTTTCCTTTCTAAACACAAATAGGACTGCGCCCTGAAACAGTTGCCATCTTCCCCATTATTTAAACAGTACCTGATTGGAAATAGGGCAGATTTCTATAGGAATATCCATCTTCAAAGCTAGATCTCTGGCTGCTGGATGTTTGGTGAAGGCAAATCCATGGCCAATGCGGCTGGTATTCAACAACAGAGCATCTAACAAATTTTCATCAGCAGGGGTGCCCTCCCAGTCTGAGTGATACAGAGAATTCTTACATTATTATATAACTACAAAATGTTTGTCATCACATTGCCAAGTGTTTCCCGAAGGAGAAAGTGTCAGTCCAGTATAAAAAGAATTGCCTGAGCTGGTGCCCTAAATAAATAATAATGAAGAATTTTTACTAGTGTTTTCTTCCAAGAATTTTCTTTATATTATATATCCAAAACAGCTAAACAGGGATGTCATAGATAGGGCATTTTAGAGGGTTTTCATTTGCAGGGTCACCATAGTACAGGACAACTTGACAGCACATAACAATATATTAAGTGCTCAAAACAGGTCACAATACATTAAACCCTCATTGTAAGAGGGTTTAAGACAAATAAAATAACTTACCCACAGTTGTCAAGCAAATTTCACAACAGTGCAAAAATATGACTATGAATTTTCCCAGATCCTGCCTTTTACATCACACTAGCTCCATGAAAAAGAATTAACTTCTAACACCAGAAGAACCATGTTCAAGATCTCCCACCATCATGCAGCAAAGCATTTTGGAGCTGTTAAACCAAAGCAGTCACCTGCAGAGGCTATAGCAGGAGCAGATGTCAAACAAGCAAGCTATTCTAGATGGGATCGCACCCCCTTGAGGGGGACAGGGTCATAACCAGGGAGTGGCTCCTTGAGCTATCTGTGTCACTTGAGGCCCAGGTGGTTTCAGTGGCATGGAGTGTGGCTCAGCCAGGTGTGGCTCAGCTACACCTGTGCCTAGTCAGAGATAACCTGCTATCAGTAATCTGCATTCTGGTAATCTCTAAACCAGGGGTCTCAAACTCAACTTACCTGGGGGCCACTGGAAGTAGAGTCTGGGTGAGGCTGGGCCGCATCAAGTATTCACCATGGTGGTGGTGGGCCGCTCATCCCGCGTCGCTCCCGGAGGCCGGCCCGGGCGCCGCCGGCGCTTTGAAGGCTGCAGAGCCCCTCCTCCGTGCCCCGCCCATCCCGACACGCAGCTTAGAGGGAACATTGCGCCCAGGGTAACGACTCACGCAGGTGCGTGTGAGAAAAATGTGCAGGCCACACAATCACTAAACTTTGATATCAAGTGGGGGCCACAAAATATCGTCCCACGGGCCACAATTGACTTGCGGGCCGCGAGTTTGAGACCCCTGCTCTAAACTATATTAGTGCAATGCATTCTATGTGAGGCTGCCCTTGACAATGGTTGTTCAAGGATAGGCTAGACATGCACATGGTAGGCATGTTGTGAGTGGAGCTGGCTAGAGCCAGGGGTCAGACTAGATAGCCCAGGAGACCCCTTCTGACTCGTTCTGTTTCTGTGTTCAGAAGCTGCAGCTTGTGCAAGATGCAGCAGCTGGATTAATGATAGGGAATGGATAACACTACATAACTAGTTCTGCCCCCCTTGCATTGGCTCCCTTTATGCTTTCAAGCCTGATTCAAGGTGGTAGTTTTGATCTATAAAGCCCTACACAGTCTTGGGACCACACTATCTGATGGAGCACCTCTCCTGACCTACCGGGACACTACAATCAAGTCCTGGGGCAAGCCTCTGATTGCCAACTCTAAATGAGGCTCTGTTGGTGGAGAAAGGACTTTTCAGTGATGTTCCCTCAGTTATGGAATGAACTTCCCACTGAGGCCCATCTGGCACCAACTTTAATAGCCTTTCATATTCCAAGTCAGAGGTTAAATGACCACCCAGTTCCAGACACACAGTTGTCTTAAAAAATCAGCAGGACTCCTTTAAGTATCTGACTAGAGAGAAGGACTCCTCAAGAGGATGGAACCCTATAATGGCCTATAATGTACTGCATCACTGCTGCCATTCCTGAATCTTATGTCCTGACTTGTGTATGGAACTCTGTTACTGATCTTTGGACATCTGCCCAATGCCGCCTCATGGAACTCTGATTATATTTGACTGATATCCCATGCATTTAGCCTGGCTACATCTAAGACTTTTCTCTGGAAAATCCATTTCTGTTCAGTAAATTGTGCTTGGCTTTTGGTTTGCCTTAAGTTCTCTACTGCAATTAGCTTTGTGTTTGCATAACAAAGAGCTGAACTTTGTAAAAGCAGTACAAAACCCCTCTGAGATCTCAGCAAGAGTTCAGCCCACAGAGTCCTCTGAATGAATGTTGGCCAAGAAGCCAATGGGAATGTTTGCATGCAACACAGATGGACTAGCAGACTGCCATCCTGTTTAAGCCTCTGAGATCACAGGCTGCTGTGGCAAAGCAGTCTGGAGCTGTTTATGCAAAATAATGGTTTGACAAACTGCTATTTGCTACTCACCATTCCTGTAACCTGCAGACCTGTCCACACTTTTCTTATGACCAATGCACAACAGATTTCTATGCATGTTTGCTCAGAAATTCAGTGGCCTTATTCCTAGGTAAGCACTACCTAGTACTGGTAATGCATGTGTAAGTTGGTCTACTGACACAAACATGAATGCACATCTGTCACACATACACAAGGACAGAATGTTGTCAACTACCTGATTTCATCAAATAGTTAAACTCACTAAAAAGGGCGCAAATTCCATCATTGAGATATTTAGATGGTAAGATTTTTGCAGCAGGGACTCATTTTCTTTTTCAGCATAAATTACTCTATAAACTGTATATCTGGTGTGGGAAACTTAAGGCCCCTCCACATGTTTTAGCTTACAACGCCCATCAGCACTAGCCAGAAAAGCCAATGGTGAGGAATTATGGCAGCTGTAGGCCAAAATGTCTGGAAGGCCAAAGAAATCTGGAGGGCCCACTCTTGCTGTATACAGAGGTACTAAATTAAGTAGTTGAAGTAACAGCAACAGTAGTCATTGTTGAGGTCGTATGGCTAGATGCTTATATTCATGGAAAGCCTTGGATCAGATGTCCATTTGCCTCTTATGGGTGCCTGCAGACGGGGCTCATAATACTACTAATACTGTACAGCTATTCCACCTTTTCCCTTTCAACAGGTTGTCTCTGGTAAGATTAAAGAATGGAAGAAGCAGTAAACATGGAAGAGTTAAGAATGGAAAATGACATTGTTTAGATCCCCTGTAAAATTCGATAAAAGAAGCATTCCAAGGCTGCGGTGGCACCACTACAGATAGAGTTATAAATAGCAAGTCACTGCAGAAAATGCATATGTGCCTTCTGGTCTCCTGCAAGACAGAAACGTGCAGCCTGATCCAAACTGTGCAGTGCAGATGAAGAGAGTTTTACATGCCTTCTATCTGTACAATAATGTGGATGTTGGTCCAAGAGACAGCCATATGGCATCTGTATATGCAGTTCCCAATCAAATGTTGTTTTCATATGTAAAAGTTTTTCTCGGCAGTTTTCTCTTTCTGGATTACAGCATACAATCAGAACATATTTGAAACACCAGCCCAACACATGTTTATGCAGAAGTAACCAAGACTGTATTAATGGCATTTACTTTGAAATAATTATGCATATGTTTTCAGTATTCATCTTGTAGTTACATATTACCTTTATATCCTACCTTTTTTCTATTTGTGAGGAACCCAAGTTGGCTTATACGGACCAGCTCCATTCCATTTTATTCTCACCACCACCCTGTGAGGTAAGCTAGGTGGAAAATGAGCGACAGGCCCAAAGTCACCCATTTATAGCCAAATGGGGACTAGAACCCGGATCTCCAACACTCTAAGCACCAGTTCACATTTGTTTTCTTTCAAGTAAGCATTGTGGTACATACTTACCAGTCTCACCAGCATGAAAAAAGTATGACAATTCATTTCCTAAAGTTTGTGGAAAGATCAAGGCATCCTTCAGCTCCAGGAGGGAGTATCCTCCATCTTCCCAGCCAACCTGCAAAGAAAATTGCTTTGAATAAGCACTCAGTTCTTAGATTTTATCTGCATCAAGAGTAAGGACCAGACCTGACATACTTTCAATCCAGTTGGTGAATAAGGTGGAAATAAGTTGTACCCATAATTCCAAGGCTGAGTGCTGCAAGCAGAATTTTGCTTTGCTTTATTTCTTAAGTGGGCACAATTACACACAAAGCTTAAGCATGGGTAAGCATATCTTGTCGATGTTGAGTAAACTGCTCTATTTAACTACTGTGAAAGCTATTTGATCATTTAAAGTCATGATGCTTTCATATAGCACCCATCACAATTCTAGGATGCAAAATGTTACAGAGTAAGTTTTGTCTCAGATCACACTTGAGACAGCAGGCAACTGCAAACTTTAAAGAGGAACTTTTATTAGTATTAAAAGATATAGCCTGAAACATTTTGGGTGGGGCCTGTATAAGAAAATCCCACTGCCCCCATCCTGTAGACTATGTCTTTAATAACATGTGTCCTATCTAAATATGGTTCGGAACAGAAGTAAATACTATTTATTTCAACAGGACTTTTTCGGCATCTTTTGTATAAAAATGTGTAGCCCACCATTCATTTACAAACCTCAAAGATAGTCTTGCAAGCACCTTTAGGACTACAGATGTCTTCTTCTAGTCATGATATACTTTGCTTACTACTGCTCTCTGTTTAAAACACACTCTGTTATCCTGGATGTCACATGCTAATCCTTAAAGGACCAGTAAGTGAAGAATCTTGCCTTTTGCCATGGTACTGGATAACCCTCAGATCCCTTCCAGCAATTTCTAAGTTCTAAGATTGATTTTTTTCCATTTAATAATTATTAGTAATAAGTATTTTCAAGGAATGCTGCATATATTGTAAGAACATAAGCCACGCTGGATCAGAATAAAGGTCTATCTCCTCCTTATACATGGTGGCAAACCAGCTGCTTACAGGATCCCTCAGGCAGGATGGATGCAAGACCTCCTCTTGTTCAAGCTCCTCAGGTAAAGGAGGTAGCACATAGCCCACAAGGCTAGTAGCCACTGATAACCTCATCCCTCAAAAATCTGTCCAATCCCTTTTTAAAACCATCTAGATTGGCAGCCATCGTCACTTCCTGCGGCAGCAAATTCCATAGTTTTAACTATACACTGTGTGAACAAGTACTTCATTTTATCTGTCCGAAACCTCCCACCAATCAGCTTCATGGAATGACCCTGAAGATTCAGGTGCTACGGAAGAGGGAGAAAATGATCTCCTTCTCTAATTTTTCCACATTATTTTAAACACATTTATCAAGTCTCCCTTTAGTTGCCTTTTTTTCTAAGCTGAAGGATCCCAGTTGTTGTAGCAGTTCCTCATAAGCAGCTGCTCCAGCCCCCTGATAATTTTTGTTGCCCTTTCCCTGCACCTTTTCCAACTCAATAATGTCCTTTTTCAGGTAAGATGACCAGCATGGAACACAACATTCCAAGCATGTTTGCACCAAAGGTTTGCATAAGGGAAGTAAGATTGTGACAGTTCTATTTTCTAATTCTAGTCCTAATTAAGCCCAGCACGGAGGTTGACTTCTTCATAGCAGCTGTGCATTGCATTGACATGTTCATCAAGCTGTCATCCAAGGTTCCTTTCTTGCTAGTCATTGCTAGCTCAGATCTCATCAGCATATATGTGACATTGGGATTTTTTGCCCCTACATGCATTATTTTGCACTTGTTTATACTGAACTGCATTTGGTATTTTTAAGCCCATCCTCTCAACTTCAAGAGATCCCTTTGGAATGCTTCACAATCTCTTTTGGTTTTAACCATCCTAAAAAATTTAGAGTCATCTGCACATTCAGCTATTTCCATTTATTCCCACTCTATGTCTTATGTTCTTTAACCCATTAGTGACCGATAAGACAACATCCCACCTTTCATTCCATGACTGCTCAGTTTGCTCAGTGGTGAGGAACTTTGTCAAAAGTCTTTTGGAAGTCCCAGTAAACTATGTCTACTGGATTGTCCTGTCTATGTGCTTAATGACACTCTCAAAGAATTCTAATAGGTTAGTGAGACAAGACTTCTTCTTGTGGAAGCCATGCTGATTTTTTTTTTTTTAGCAGGACTTGTCCTCTATGTGCTTACTGTTTCCATCTCTACTAATATTTTCAAGCGGCTTACCCAGAACAGATGCTAAGCTAACTGGCGCGTGATCCCTTTTTAACAAATTCATGTTAATTGGCCATTGTCCAATCCTCTGGTACAAGGGCTAATGTTAGGGACATGTTAAACATTTTGTTAAGAAGGTCAATGATGTCATGTTTGAGTTCTTTGAAATCTCTAGGATGGATACTATTTGGACTGGGTGACTTTTGTCAATAATGTTGAGATCGTTCTTTTTCAATACTATCTGCCCTAATTCCTCAGATTCCCTTCCAGAATACATAAGCTCAGGGACAAGTATCTGCTCTGCATCCGCCATTGTGAAGAACGATTAAAAGAATTCTTTTAGCTTCTCTGCAATCTCCTCCCCTGCCACCTTTGTGCTCCTGTAATTCCATTATCATCCAATGGCCCAAATGCTTCCTCAGTGACTTTCTTTTCATATTTTTAAAAAATGCTTTATTGTTAGGCTTGATATTTTAGTGATGTGCTCCTCATAGAATCATAGAATAGTAGAGTTGGAAGGGGCCATGAAGGCCACTGGATCCAACCCCCTGCTGTTGAACACCAAGTTACACCATCCCACTCAGATGGCTGTCCAGTTTCTTTTTGGATGTCTCTAGTGTGGGAGAGCCCACCACCTCTCTAGGCAGCCGGTTCCACTGACATATTACTCTGACAGTGAGGAAGCTTTTCCTGATGTCCAGCCTGAATCTGGGTTGTCACAACTTGAATTGATTATTCCGTGTCCTATACTCTGGCATTAGCAAGAAGAGATCTTCTAACTGTTTCTTTGCTTCTCTGATTGTCTGCTTGCATTTCCCTCGAGCAAGCTTGTAGTTCTGTCTGTTCGTTTCATTTGGGCAAGATTTCAGTTTTTTGAAGAACACTTTCTTCTCCCTAATAGCTTCCTTGATTCTATGTGTTATCTTTTGTGCTATCTTGTCACTTGTGGTATGCATATTAACTGTGCCTCTATTACAGTGCTTTTGAGTAATCTCCAAGTGTTTTGAAGCAATTTAAACTTCTTGATTCCCTTCTTTAGCTTCTTCTTTACAAGTTCCCTCATTTCGGAGAAGTTTCCTCTTTTCAAGTCAAATGCAACTGCATTCAACCTCTTTGGCAGTCTTCCAGCTGACTGTATATTAAATCTGATACCAGCATGGTCACTGTTACCCAGGGGATCAACAACATTTACATCCTGTACTATGTCCCGGGCAACCCTGCCTAGGGCCAGATCCAAGATTGCTTCCCCTTGGCTTGGCTGCATGGCCACCTGTTCTAGGGCACAGTCATTTAGGACATTGAGACATTTAACCTCTCTGTCAGAACTGGAACGTGCATTTTTCCAGTCAATGGGTGGGTATTTGAAGTCTCCCATTATTACCGTACTGCCTTTCTTGGAGGTCTCCCTGATTTCATTTCTCATCTCAAGATCACCCTAAGCATTCAGCCATTATGTTTCACCCAGAAACTGCAGCAACTGGTCAGAAGCTCAGCTGATAGCATCAAGTGTTATGTCACATCCCATGTAAGGCATTGTTACAATAGGGCTGAGGCCTAAAGAAAGCTCTAGCTCCCCAAGCACATTATACCCTTGTTTCCTGCAATCTTTCCAACATAAAACACAAAATATCTAAGCAAGGAATATTAGATATTACCAAATCAAATCCTGCCACAGTGTCTGGAAACTCAGCTTGGAGTGCCAGGGCTGTGCTAACAGCTTCTTTAATCTTGGAAACATCCTGATCCCTAAAAATTAACAGAAAGAGAAGAGTACTAAAAGAGTGACAGGTACCATCTGATTAAAAACACAGTTTCCAAACCTTGCATCAGTCTCTTGGAGGTTCTGAATAAAAATTCTTTAGTTAAGGATGTGTATAATATATGGACACTATAAGGGTGTGTACACTACATGGAGTATACTCACTTCCTTTTGTGCACATGCACAAACATTTACCCTGGATCAAGCTTGAGGGAAAGCTATTTTTCCATTTGCAGCAGATTTACTCAGCGTTGATTGGCTGGCCCTGGTTTTAACAATGAAGGCAGCATTCCTGGAGCAGTTTTTCATCTTGTTGAACAAGTGCATGACAAGGTAAATTTGCCAAATGCTCAAGAAATTAGCTAATACACAGCATGACCAGCCCACCTACAGAATGGGGAAGGGGAAATTATACAATCTGCAGCTCTTGCAGAAACAGTACATGTGACCTTTCAAGGGAGAAGGCAAGAGGGAGCAGAGCTGCCCCTGCAGCAGCAAAACCATACCCAGATCTCTGTCCACAGATTTGCCAGTGTGGACCCACCTGTACCCACATTATTGGGGGCAGTGGGGAGGGGCAGCCGAGGAACAGAATCCAGGAGCAGCCATTAAAACCATCCAAGGCTTAACAGGATCATTTTGCTGCTGCTGCCACAGCTGCAACAGCACATAAATGATGCCAAAAAATTCTTACAGAGTAATATTGATGTGCAAATTCCTCCAGAAGGAAATGGAACTTACCTGAAATAAGCCAAACTATTCTTGTATAAAATTGGCAGACAGCTTGGCTTAAGCCACAGTTCCAAAGAGATTTGGGACCCACTGCATCCTTGATGGAAGATGCAATTCATGGCCTGCTCTCATAAACTTCCATGCGCCTTCCCTACAAACCACATCTCCTGTCTTTCCCACTGAATCCCCTTCCCTTGCACCCATTTACTTGGCTGCTCCTCCAGCAGTAGTCAACAAGACAAAGGAAAACAAGGGGGGAAACCTCTCTCTCCTTCCTCTTTCTGGCTATTTTGTTTGGCTACAAGTTAAAACCTTCGCCAAAGAAGAATTACAGGGTCCTAATGATCACATAATATTTGAAGCAAACATCATGAGCTTTCAAGGTGATAAATTATATGATAAATTAGAAATGAACAAGAATCTGATGACTTGTTTTGCTGCAATTTTCTGATTTTTAACTGATTGCACTTTTCTTCTTGCTAACATGGCCTGTAGCTTAATCAATAAAATGATATTTAATTTTCAAACAGATGGGCTTGCCATTGCCAGCAGAATGATCTAGATATCCCTTACCTATGTGCTGTGTATATAATCTTTACACCCACAAAATCAGGATGGTCCTTTACAAATTGCTTGGCCACATCTTTGTAAGCTGCCATAGACCAGGATTTGTTATGTATGGTTCCATCCAACTCATATACCTATAGGCAGAAAAAATCACAGGCAAAGGCAAAAGTAAGAGAGAGAGGGCAGTAAAAGTCAAAGGTCAACTGCTATTTGCAACCAAATATCTATTAATACAATGACATTCCTCAGAATTGACTCTGCATCAGTATTGGCAACTGGTAACATGCAACAAATATGGTTTCCAGGTAGCGGTACCTGCCCCCCTTCCCCCGTTGCTAGCCCAGTGGGACATAAGGAAGCATGTGGATATGGGACCGGCTGCTGGTTCAGTGTGAGTGATGCAATCACAAGGCCTCAACCTAGTATCCTTCTTCTCAAAATACTCCTTCACTTCTTTCCATGAGACTCTATCTCTCTCTGAAAGTCATTTAGGCATAAGGGTCAACTACCTTCAACTAGTTTTACTGATACCTAAAATCAGAGTTTGTGGGAAAACTGCTATGTTGTAAACTGCCTAGAGAGTCCTATGGGTCTATTAGTACAGTAGACAGGCTTAATAAATTAATTAATTGCATAAAATTTTCACGCCATAGCTACTAGCCTGTGGAAAGCAGACCGTGGCTCATTCTCAGTACCCGTAATAATATTTTAAAACAATAGTGTCCATCCATCTACCCCAGATATTGCTCAAAATATCTCTCACTATGGGATGGAGAACCCTAGGAAGGAATGACTTTAAATAAGAATGAAGCAACAAAAGGAAGCATTACCGGAGGCAGCATGGCTCTTATTTCAGCATACTGAACATTATCTTCATAGAGCTCCAACAGCCCATGATAGAAATAGGCCTTGAACACAGGTGCATAGCTGATAAGGCCAGAAGCTGTGATGAAGTTATTTTCAAATTTCTTCCAAATGACAGCCTGAGTAGGGTAGGCCACTTCTGGGGCATCTGTTACAAGTGTTAGGTTCCTCAACAAACTGGGGAGGGTGGGAGAAAAGATTTAAGGTTTACAATTTTACAATGCCTGCAAAACTTTTGCCTCTATGACTGAACTGACGTAAAACTATAATACTTCCTATCAACTGTAACTTCAAAGCCAAGTATATTTGTGACATATTAATTCATTAGAAAGCTCAAGAAAACTCAAGAGGGATTTATTCTCTAGCAAGTGCATTTAGGAGTGCAAACTGAACAATGCAATCCTAGACATGTCTGTTCAGAAGTTAGTCCCCATTGTCCCCAATGGGGCTTACTCCAAAGCAAGTGTGCCTAAGATTAAAGTCCAAACTGTTAACGACCATCAGAATCTGTGGTGGGCAGAGCCTAGTATCTGCCTGAATCTAGCCCCTGATTTTGCTTATCCCTGCTAGCCAATTAAGCTTCCCCTTTAAAGGGCAATGCCACTACTGTCACCTGGAACATCTGTGGACAAAAGAGGATACTGAGCTTTGGCCCAACTCCTCACTGGTTACATGGGGGAGGATTAGAACGGATAAAGCCCTCAAGATTCTCTCCAGGGGAATTGGTGGTACCTCAGAAAAGGGAGGACTGTCTCTTGTAGCCTTACTAGTACTTACTAATTTTACTGACCCAAATGTTATAATAATAATAATAAAAAAAAATCCTAGTAAGGATTTTTTTCTTATTTTTTTTCTTTTTTTTTTTTCCAGCCACTGGGAAGAATATAAGGACCTACTGCTTTATTGGCCTTTCTACAAGCCTCAGCATAGCAAAACTGCCTCATCCCTTGTTGACTTGGACTGCTTGATTACAGGTAAGAATCAGGGATGTAGCGATTAGTGCTGGGCTAAGGCTCAGAAGATCTAGGCTCTAGTCCCCAATCTGCTATGAAACTCACTGGCTAACTCTGGGCTAGTCACTAACTCTCATCATCACCTAACTCATAGGTTGTGAGGATAAAATGGAGAGGCAGAAGACCATTAAGACCAGCTAGGCTTCCCTGCAAGATATACAAGGTGGGATATAAATATAAAAAACACATATATGACAAAATTTAGAGCCCACTTATCATGAATAATTTGCCACTGTCATATATATAGTCTGGAGAAGAACATAAGATGATTAAACTTACAGAGTATTGTGTCTAGGTTTGTACTGAATACTATTAGTAAACTCAGATGCTGAATTATGATGGCTATATAGCCAAAACAGTGCTACTGAGAAGCAAGGGAGAAGGTATTGGAGAATGCCAATGTTTGCAAAAGTAGAAATAATCTTTTAGCAGGGAAAAAATTTTGGGAGCAAACCCCCTGTATAACCCAACAACAACTAATCATTCTCAATAACCACAGAATATTAAGTGTTTTATTTATTTGATTTATATCTCACCTTTTTGATTTTTAAAGAACTCAAAGCAGCTTACATCATTCTCCTCCCACTGCTCTCTCTCTCATCGCCACAACAACCCTGTAAGGTAGATTGGGCTGAGAGTCTGTGACTGGTCCAAAGTCACCTAGTTGTTTCCATGACTTAGCAGGGACTAGAACCCATATCACTTGAGCCCCAGTCCCGCACTCTTAACCACTATACCACACTGGCTTTCTCACAACAAGTCTATATTGGCAGGGAATAAACCTGTTCACAGTCCTTTTGTTGTTATGTTTTGGTTACTTCTGGTACCTGTTGACCATCAGGGAGCCCACCTCTGGTTGGTGACTACAGTTTTGTAATTTTTCCTTCCAGGGAAAGTTCTGGCTTGATTTGATCTAGTACCCACATGAACACTACATACTCCAGATCAGGGTTGGCAGAAGATAGATCTCCAGATGCTCTAGAATCTGGAGATGCCTTCCCAGCATCTGGAGATTCAGGAATGCTGAGAGTTGAAGCATAAAATGACTGGGGTTCTACTTTCTACCCATACCTTATTGTGTATTCATATTGTCTACCGTACATGTACACACACACAGTCTAGAGTTCATCTCTCATAATTCTAGCTTTCCTAGTGATTCTTGCTAATGGTTACATAACAGAGTTTGTATACTTAGTAATTTATACTCATAAGCATTTTAAATGTCCCCAAATAAATGTTACTTTATAGTTCACAATTTCTATGTTCATTTTACTTTGTTCTTGTTCCTTGGTGGGGACTATACAACAAGGTTTTTCTCATCTGGGGTTAATCATTCTGAGAAACAGCCTGTATCAGAGTAAGAACAACATGCCCATCAGCTGTGGCTTGGCATATATCACACGCCCATGTGAATAATATGCAAATATGCTCACTGCATGTAACAAAATATGCAAATTGTGTCTGTGAGATTCCAGCTTGGTCTGTTTCTCCATCAGGACCCTTGATAATGAAGTTGCTAGCTCCTGGCCTAGGCCTCATTCCTTCGCTATGACAACAGTGACCACTTCCAAGGAGTCATTTATGTTTGGTGGCTTGCCTAATTCACAGCCTAAGCAATTAAAAGTACACATCATTGCACATGTGAAATCTGGAATGAATTCATACTTATTATCTGTGTCTAAAAATCTTTATTGTTCATCAGAAACATTGTGCTCATACAGCTTGCAAGAGGCAGCACTGCCAATTCTAATAAAATGAAGTAGCTCTGGGCCTGGTCAACAGATGGGATGGGAGAACACAAAATGGAGTCTGTTTGCCACACGTTTAATATGCCAGCTGCTGTTATCCTACCTAGAAGTCCCTTCCTATGCTTTGGACTGCAGTTATTGTTCACTCCATTTGGTTGTTTATTACTTTTTTTTAAATAAGATGAGGGGGTAGATTGGGGGAGTAAGGAACAAAACTAAAAATTCAGTAGCCCTACCTCATCCAGGGTGAGTTTTTAAAGTGCCCACCAGTCAAGGAATTCAGAATTAAGGTTACCACAGCAACCTTAACTCTGCCCTCTTGTGCATGACAATGCAGCTCTTTCGTTACATTAGCAGACAAAAGATCAGGCAATGCAAGAAACTACTCAGTAAACAATGCAACATAATGGAAAGGAAATGAACCATAGCTAGAGAAGGACACACACAGAAGCATTTGCTCCTAGTTTATGTGTGGTAGTAACTGGCATTTCAGGCCTATTCTGGTGACATTGCAAACATCACCCTAGAAACCAGGAATGAATGGAGTGCCAGAGGCATCTTTTGCAAACTTATCTGTAGTACAACAGCCAGCCAATGAATGGGAATTTAAAAAGATAGGATCTCCTCTGGCTCAGCAGGGGGGCAATAGAAAGATCTTGTGAGGAGGGTTGGGGGAAGAAGCAGGAACCTGGAATATTTCTTTTTACAGATGCCTTGGGCAACTTGGTCCCATGCATATTTACTCAGCTAGCCCAGCTATCATCAACTACTGAAGTTCTTGGAAAACCAAACAGCCCCAGTTCTCTCATCCTTTTCCATATTGGAGGAGAAACAAATTGGGTTCCTTGCAGATAAAAAGGGAAGACAAAGAATGTTTACCCTGGCTGACTGAGGTAATTACAGCTTCATTATGAAGAAATGTGAGGCAGTTGCTATGGTCAGCAGTTTCCAGAGGGGGGCAACATTTTCCTGCCGCCTACCATTATTCCCTATAACCCAAATGTAAAATGTATATTGCACTTTATATTTGATATAAAGGTGGCTCTTTTCTACTATCTTATGTTAATCACATTCAGACATGTACAAAACAATGCAAAAATGCTTCCATGTTGCTATTTTAAGGTTTACTTGGATGTAAGTCTCTGGGGTTGCAGTCGTGTTATTTCCACGTAGACAGGTTTAAGGTAACAGCAGATTCATGTGGCAAATTGGAACCCACTGCTGTCCTCTGTGTTCACTCATGCTAGTACACCATACTGGCCCTTCTGGGGCCCCATGAGATGGTTGAGAAAATGAATCAAGGTCTGGTAGAGGGGTTAAGAACTGCTGCTGTGAGATAAAATGCCTGTTTCAAATCTCCCTCTTCAACCATTAATTTGCTGAGTGGCCTTAGGGAAGTTGCTAACATTTGGTCTCATGTCCTGACCCCATCTTCACACCTGGCCTACATAAAATGTTGTTATAAGGATAAAGTGAGATAGTTTAAACAATTAAGGAAAGCATTATATAAATAGTAAGTTTTGTTATTTATTAGATTTATATGCCACCTTTTTCTTCTTTTTTTAAAAAAACTCAAAGAGGCTTACATCATTCTCCTCCTCCTGCTTTCAGTCTTATCCCCACTACAAGAAGTCTGTGAGGTACGTTGGTCCAAAGTTACCCAGTTACCTTCATGCCTAAGCAAGGACTAGAACCCAGATTTACCTTTAACACAATCTTTCTTCTACTGAGAAGTTGTGAAGAGTTCTAGATTAACAAATCCAGACAGTGATTTGGAAGGAATAAGCTTACATCACCCATATACCATTTTATAAACATCCAGCTGTTGCTCCAAACGAAGAAACAACAGCATGGTTCACCTGTAACTCATTGGAAAGATGGTCACCTACCTCTTATCAAATTCAGTCACATTGTTCACCTCCTTGCGGTAAGTCTCTAGCAAGACCCATTCAGAGCAGCCAGAAGGAATCATCTTGGGAGGAACTGGCCTGGAGAACTTGAACTGGACAGTCCACAAAGGGCAGAAGCAGATGTAACAGTCAGGCAGGTAGCTGGCATGGTACACCAGCCATTCAACACTCAGGATAGCATAGTCATGTAAGTGTAGTGCACCACCTGCGGTGATGTAAGACAATGCAAGAAAGCAAAACAAAAAACACAGCTGAAATTGTGTGAACAATGAATGGAAGAACTTAAAAGAGTATGGAAGAACTACATGTTAAAGTAGCACAGGAATTGTAGTGGTGTTGATGATAAAAGACCGTGGCTGTGATTGGCTGATCTGACCCAAACAGAAGGCAAACCAAGGGAGGAGACAAAGGAGGACTAGGAGAAGAAATGTGAGAGATTGGATAGGATTCCATCCACACAGGATATAGCAAATGAGGATCTGCATTTCCATCATGCTGTTTGTCTGTGAGTATCTATCAATGGAAATCAGAGAAACTGGTTCTCTCCGGTACACATGCAAAATATTTCAAAACCTGGGATAAAACTGGCTGCAAAATTTTGCAGCATAAAAATAAGCACTAGTCAAGATGTCTCATTTCTGAAACCCAATGAGCTGGTGGTTAAACAACCCATATACTGTCATGCATGGGCAGAAGACAGAAAATGTGCTGCCACCTGTCACTTCCACTTTTACTCCAAAATTGGAACCTGGACTGATGTATGATTTAAAGAATAAATGGGCCAGCAATTAACCCTTGGTTTGTTGTTGGATTAACTGCTTGGTTGTTTCAACTCCTAAATAGCTCAATGGTCCAGGTATACATGTTGGACTGTCTGTGAAGGAGTCAATCACTGGTCTTCTTTACTTCCTCTTTTACCACTTTGGGTGTCGAAAGAAGGAAATCATGTTAAAAGGTGGTTGTGTGGTAAAAAGGAGGATGTGAGCACACTGCAGGAAGGATTTCTGCCTAACAACCCAGTGGTTTTTAAATCAATAGAGGATCTCTACATGCAAACAGCCCAAGGAGCAGTCTGTGAATTCCTGAGATTATAGGATTACCAAAGTTGAAGCACAGATCTGATCTGCTCCTTGGAGGAGAGACCACCATAAGGCTCATGTAATAACATAAGTACAAGAAATTCATTTTTGAAAGATACCACATTTACAGTGCTTCTTTCACTTTCTAAAGTGAATTTCAGAATTAAACATTGTGCAGAGCTGAGACATTTCCAAGCAGTGAAAAATGACAAGCAAAAAATATGAGTCAATTCAACCTTATAGGCTATGCTATCAACACTAAGCAAAGCTGATGTGTTTTGGCAACTAATCACCTGAATGGAAATTGGGCAGTTGCCCTTGGGAACATTTTCCTGTTACACAGATGACTTGTGCTACAAATGGACTTGCAGGCCACTGTCCTGCTAAGTTATCTGACCAAAGTGCTGTAGCAAGTCATTCTATGACTTTTAGTGGAAATTAGTCCCTAAAGTAAATGACAGCAGGAGGAGCAGTTATATTTCAGTCCAATGCTCTTATAAACCAACATTCTGGAAAGATTGAGAAGAAAAAATATCAAGCAAACCCCAATATAAGAACAATAAGAAAAGTAATCTTTCTGTTTCTTTTCACTGAAAGAGAACTGGCTGCAGATAAACATGCACACATGCGATATTTGCAAGGCTTTGTTAGTATATGATTGGTAATGTTTTTAAATTAGCAACAACCAGACCTCAAATTAATATTTGACAAAGAGCCAGTGTGGTACAGCAGTTACAGTGCTGCATAAAACTCAGGAAATCCAGATTCTAGTCCTCACTCAGCCCTAAAACTCAGTCCTGGGTGACTTGGCCAGTCACAGAGTCTTGCCCTAACCCACTTGACAGGATTAGTGTTGTGAGGATAAAATGGACAGCCTTCTAAGCTGCCCTGGGTTCCTTCTGAGAGGAAGAAAGGTGGGGCATAAATACAATGGGATAACAATTGTAATAACAGCAGAGAGTAGACAGAATTTTACAGGAAGCCAAGTCATACCCAGCTACCATGAGGAATGATGGAAATTGCAGCCCAGCACATCTAGACAGTAACAGCTTGAAGAACACTGCTTTAGTGTCTTATAATCACAAGAATGTCTGTAATAAACTACTACCCTGCCTGCTTAATGCACAGAGATGCTTAAGGAAGCTGAAATCAGTACCTTTTGGCATCTCTTTCAGGATGCTGAACACAGCACTTTGGTCAATGAGGGCTTTGGCCTTGAAGAAATGCAAGCTAGGTGGAAACAGTCCAGTCTTCCTAGCCTGAACCACTTCATTCTCTTTGAGTTTCATGAGCTTCTCGTCTGCATATTCTTCCCCTACTCCAAGCACAAGGTTGCCACCTGTACGACGGGCATTCTCTTTTTCCAGAAGCAATTCCCGCTCATCCAATAATGGAAGGGGTACACAAGGAGAAATGCAAATGAAAATGAAGATCACTTGCAAGCCAATTCTCTGAGCAATTAGAGGCATCATGTGAGAATACACCTAGAAAACAAAGTCAAAATCCAAGTGTTAAAATAAATTTTATTTTCTTTGCAGGAACTGATGATTGATAAGGTCCAATGCTAATCATTTCAAAAATATACTAGCCAGCCGAATCATTTAAGGTAAATATCAAGGTTTCTCCAAAAGATCAGCCAATCAAAACCCCATTCTGCTTATGAATTTATGACAAAGTCTAAGCCAAGACCATGTCTTAGTTTTGAATTTACATACTTTTAGGTCAGAAAATAATTACAATCTTATTGGACAATTTCCTTCAAATAAAGAGCCAAATACTATAAAATATATCAGTAGTTTTCACCAAACTTTAACATAAAGTACACTACACCTGTCTGATAATGTGAGTGAAAAAGGTTAATGTGCCAATTTTCAGAACATGTTAACTCTCTTTAGTTACAGCAATTTTTAACAGATTGGAATATGGAACAGCTGTAGGCATTGTTATATAAGGTTTGCCAAGCTTCAAGTTACTAGAAATAAAATATAATTGACTCGCCTTAACTAAAGGAGCTCTACTGTTTTGAATACTGCCATCCAACTTATGCTACATCTACCTGGTAGGATTATAAATCATTTTTCTTGCGGGGCGGGGGGGATCTGTCTGCTCTGCTGGAGTCAACTGTCACTTGGCACCTCTCCTCCAAGAAAGGTCTATCAGCAATAACTCTACCTGGTTGCATCAGAAGAACAATGAGACAGCAGGACCCGTCCATTTGTGACCAACTGCCATGTGAAAGTCTCCTACTCTTCCAGAACTCTCTTTCAGTGACTATTCCGCATAATAACAGCAACAACAATACAGAAGTGGTAACTAACTATGCTTATTTTCCTTTTCCATTCTCATCCTTTCAGTGTTTTGCTTCTTTGGCTGCATGAATTTTAGGGACATTTCTTGGAAGAAAGCCACCTTTAACTCTGAGACCTTTTTCACTGTAAGCACACATAGGATGGTGCTGCGTGATTATAAGCTATTATACAACGAAAACCAAGTTGATGCTTCAGGAGAAAATTATATACAAATCTAGTAAATTACATAAGTAAACCTTAATACTAATGATAAAGCATCCACAGTGTCATAGCAAATAGGCTATTCCATTTATTTATTTAGGAGACTTCTATGCCGCCCCATTCGCCGAAGCCTCGGGGCGGCTCACAACCATAAATAAACTTCAATAGAATAACATAAATTAACAATATAAATTAAATTTAATGTCACTTACTCCCTAGTAAAGGTAGAATTGCAGCTTAGAGAATGTTCCAGGCACGATTCAAATTGAATCTGAGTTTTCCTAAACCATAATACTATTTGGCACACCCAGTACTAATCCCTTTTGGTAATCCGAGTTTAGCTCCATACAGCCCACACATGAACGCCATGATTCATTTCCTCTGTATTGTGGTGTCCTAGTTTTTTACATGGTTGCTACTACGCCAACACTCTGCTGGTATTCTCTTTTGCCAATCCTGTATCTGACTAATAGAAACCTGATCCAGTGGCAAAGAACCTCAAACAAACTGAGTCAGGAGCAAGCATGACATAAGCAGATTTACAGAAAACATACCTTAGTTGTGATAATAACAATGGCAAGAGCATCCTGTAGAGACTCCCCAGTGATTCACTTACTGATGACTTTTCCATTCATCTGTCTAGCACTCAAAAAAGTCAGAGCCCAAACAAGGAGCACACAGGCAGGTTTGGCTGGTGCTATAAAACTGTTCTCCTAATAAGAAACAAGCTAAACTCAACTAGCCTGAATTCCATTTTTAAGAGCTTTGGTGTAAATACTTGATTGCTACATATTAAGATGCATATCACTGTTTTATGGAATAGAGGACAAGACAAGAGAAGACAGTTCCTTGGACACTTACTTAAGCAAAGTACAAACATACACACACAAAACTGCATGGGCTTTTATAAATTTAATTTTCCTCCAAACACATTAACTTTTGGTCCAATCCTACCAAGGAGAAAGATCCATGCTGTGGTGGTAAAGCAGATTGACAATTCAATGGTACTAAAAGTAAAACAAAATCCCTACAAATTATTATTGCTGCTGCTAATACCTTCATCCTTACCTTAGAATATATGTCAGATGCTCCTAGAGAGATGCTTTCTGTAGCCGCTCCTCATTTATGGAAACTTCACCTGGCAGTTCACAGAATCTATGACCTTCAAGCTCATGTTATCAGCAGTTTATTAATGCTAAGCAGATTGCCGATGTACTCATTTTAGGTATATCATTTCTTGCTTGGAAACAACATGCAGGACTAGCTATTCCCTATTTCCCTTTCTAATATAAAGGTGTGTTTTGTTTTCTTAAGCTTCTCTGCTGACATGGAAAGGAAAAGAAAGCATAGCCATGGTTTCAGCATTGTTGCCACAGTCAAGACCTCTGGAGGTCCCTCTTCTATATGACAACAGAAGCCATTTTTGCCTCCTTCCATTCTGATCCCGCTCAGCAGATCTTAACAATTGCTACCTGCTGACATGCAACACAAGAGGGCCAAGGGAGCATGACACAAAGGCTTCTTTCACATGATGGGTTTGCCCTAGAGCAGCCAGGCTTGGAAGAGGCTCAGTGAATAGTCCCCTTTCCAATCCCCCTGCCTTGCATTTCAATCAAAGTCAACAATCAGCTTGGAATCCTTGGTATCCTGCTGCTTTCACATTGTATGGCTCATCCTACCTGCTATCTCCTGGTTACCAGTTTGACATTCAAGGAATTGAATGTTCATATTACTACAAGGGAAAGCAGAACTGAAGGGGAGGAGAGGCACTAAAACTAGTGCTTTATTAGCATATCATCCTAGATTAAAGTGGAAAGATGAGGTTGGCAACAATAAAAGTGCCTGCATTCAGTATCCTTGACCTAGGTAAGTTAGCACAGAAATATGCCATAACCTTTCAGGGTGAATCTAGGCAGTATAAATTAAGCTAGTTTAACAGTACTTCATTCCTCCTTCAAGGAAGGGCTGGCAATTGCAGTTCTGTGAGGGGAGATATGGATTTCAAACCAGTCATTCTCTGCCCCTTCAGCAAACCACATATCTCATCTGCTTTAACTAGAAACTAAGATTATTAAACTAGTAGAAACTTGATTATATTTTGTGGTGTGAATAGGCCTCAGATCGAAAAAGGTAGAATATATTTATTTTTTCTGACTTTCATTTATATGCCACCAACTACTATAGTCTCAAGGGACTAGGGAGGGTAGGATCCCAGGGCCGTCTTAACAGCATTATGGGCCCCGGGCAAAACAACTACAACTACTGTTAATTTTGAAACTTTTCCAATTTTCCAAGGGTTAACATACAGATTTGTATGGGGCCCATGGGCAAGTGCCCATCAGGCCCATGTGTTAAGACAGCCCTGTAAGATCCAATGGGGTGCTTATGCCCTGCCAATTCCTTTTTGTACAAAGTGGTTCCCTCCAATTCCACTGTCCAGGTGGGGATCCACTGCTTACTCATGAGAGATTTAGTATTTTCTAGGAGAGGCCTCAACATGAGTGGAAGCACTTGTTTCTGGAAGGATGCAGGTCAGTGAAGCTCCTTTTTGTGAGCTTCACCAACCTACCTCCTTCCAGAAACATTTCCACTCATTTCTGGTTGCTCCGGAAGCACTAAATTACTGCTTGTGTAACAGTTGTGCTGAGACAAAATATAACTAGTGTGGGTGGAAGTGCCCTTTTGGATTCTACCTACTGTAGACACTTATGCCCCATCAAAAAAGAGGCCAAAACAGGGCAAAACTTTGCATAAAATGTACATATGCTTATAAGTACTGTGATCTAAATTGAAATACATCTCTCCAGAGTAAAGGGGCCAGGGCTCAGTGAAGAGCACCAACCTTACATGCAGGATATGCCTGGTTCAATCCCTGACATCTTAAGGTAGGGCTCGAAAAATTCAAGCGTGAAACCTGGAGAGCCACTGCTGATCGGTGTCAACAGGACTGGGTTAGAAGGGCCACACGATAACTTCCTATGTACCTGCAGTGGCTAAGGTTGTGCCCCTTGCCTGCTCCAACTTATCTTTGAACAAACCTTCTTTGAACAAACCTGCTGGACAAACCTTCAGCAAACACCTTCAAATGGAGGTACTCCCTCAATAAAGTATGACATATGGACACCCTTTACAGAGGACAGACTTCAGTTTGAAGGATTGTCCAAACCAAAGCCCCCAGGGAGTCCCAAGAGACAGAATTCGCAATTGGATCTCACTGGGTCCAATCTGGCTTTCTACTGAATATCCCTCCAGTTGTGAAAGCAGGGCAAAAGAGGGATGTAAGTGGAGCGATGTCTGTGGCAAATCAACTTTGCCAGTGGACCACTTAGGGGTGGGAGGGAATTGGGTCTCCACCCCAACTCCATTCTCAGAAGTCCTTCTCCAGGAAACCTAGTTGTTGACATCTTAAAGAACAATTCAGTGTTGCTGTTTCTTGTCAAAGTGTCAATATAGGTTCATGTAGTAGCTGCCTAATAATTCATCTAATAGTACCAAACCTGGATAATTTTGAAGTGGTAAGCTCCACGTTGTATTAGAAATAAGTGCCAACATCCATCTTTTTGCCAGGGTTATAATGCATCTGCCTTTCAGGACGCCATCCAGCCTTCTGTATCACATTAGTATCCCACCATTTTCACTGTGGATTGTTTCACTATAGGGTGTACAAGGTAAGAAAAATGCAGAAGCGTTTACCATTGCCTTCCTCTGCACAGTATTAGCCAGAGTTAGCTTGAGCATCACTGTCATTGCCTGTGAAAGCTCCTCAGCTGGTTTTGAAAAACACAATGGTTTCCCATAGGAAAGATATGAGACAAGAGGGTTATTTTATATCCCTAGCTGTTCATTCTGTACATAGAACATTCCATAAGGAAAGCCAAACTGGGATCAGAGGAAGCAGGAGTAAAAATTGGTGGAAGATATATCAATAATTTAAGATATGCGGATGATACCTTATTACTGGCAGAAAACAGCAG